TTTTTAACTTTTTTTGAATGACTATGACCTGGATGAATGAGAATCTTCATCAGCATTCATAGCGATTTTCCTGAATTTCCAAGCTTCCTCTGATGCCTTCAGATTAATACTCAGTATTTCACCTCAGAGGCCATGGCGATGGGGAAGCTACACAAGGAAATTGCTCACGTCATCGTCCAGTCGGCAGAGGACGCCGAGCGATCGGACAGCCAAGTCATTAAGGTGAGAACCCACGCAGAACCAGCTCCCCTCTCACCTTCTCTTTGGTTCTAAATCTATCCCCAATGAATCCACAGGACATTTCCATCAAAACTAAAGAAGTCCTTACCAGCCTGTTCGCTCTGGTCGAAGAGTGCGAAGACTCTAAAATCACGCTGGAGGTTTTAAAGCAGCATCATTTCCCTCCAGCCACTGAGAACTTCCTCTTTCACCTGGCAGCAGCAGAGCAACTCTTACGAATATGAACTATTTTTTTTTGTCGTTAGTTATAATCTGAAGGTGAGGAAACATCAGGAGCAGCAGGAGAGTGAACCGCAATTGTTAACATTTGTATTCTGAAGTGACCACAGGGGAACACGTTTAAGGTATTTAGTTTTTGCACAAGAGAGCAAAGGATCAATGTTAGGATTAACAGTAGGTGGTGCTGGTCATAGAGAAGCCGACATCCAGCCATTATGGACATCAGCATCATATTATTATGGGATTTGAGGCGTTTACTTAAATCCTTCCTGGGTGGAATAATTATGCATCATGCAAACTTATTTCCTCAACTATTTAGTTACTGCAAGCTGCACCTCAACCACAGGATTATTCACAGCATTAACCAACTCCAGGTTCTATTCTAACCAGACATTTGACCTCTCTTCTATTAAATTGGTTTCCTTTGACTGATTAAAGCCTAACAGAGAAACTTTCATGCATAAAGGCAATCTAGAACTTCACTTCCACAAGATTTAAGTGAATGTATGCATGTTTCTGAGCCTGTTTGTATAATTCTGACCTTTATAATTACTCACTGGATCAGTTTAAAGTGGTTTGTTGTATCATGAGCGTCAAAACCCGGAAAACGATTGGTTTAAATAAACAAATAAAAGTAAAACTCATAAAAGTGTATGTGGGAATGAGCAGATAGAAGCAGTCCTTAAACGTATAGTACACCCAAAACACGATTAGCCTTCATTTTCTACTCCCCCCCA